TCAATGTAATGTTTTAATCAGATGGTATTGGAATCTTGCAGTCAATATTTAAACATGCGTGTATATATATATACCACCGTTTAGATGTGGAACCATTGGACAACCGTTTCGTTCTAGTATGGGACTCCTCAACGATGATCATTCACTACAATATCGATCGAGAATCAAACCATGAATTTTTTAAATGTGTAACTTAGATTGATTTATAAAAAAACAATAAAATTAAACAATCTCCATAATCCTCCATTGAAAATTGTTTTCTATTTGAGAGAAATTAAAATAAATCGGTTTACTTGAATGCATAAAAGACACGTCAATATTCATCATTAAATAATCAATCAAAAACTTAGTCACAATATGGAATTTTGTTACTTTCTGGTAAACGGTAATACTAGTAGAATAAATATATCAATTTTATAGTGGTACAATTATGTAATTCCTATCATCTGGGTTTTATTTATGATTCACCATCATACTCATTTTAATGGAGTTTTGTTCTCTGAGCTGGATGATTCGGTCGTAGAGCTTTCATTGTTCTTCTGAACGAATTTTATTTGAAGTTTATGCTGATAATGTCGTTCAGAAGAACGATGAAAGCTTCACGACCAAACTATCCAACTCAAAGAACAAAACTCCATCAAAATCACCCACTTGAGCTATAAATCTTCTCCACAATCTCATCATCATACTAAATATATCTTTTGAACTAATCAAGAAGTAATAAACCCTGCTAATTGTTACTGAAATGTGATGGATGAATTAAACAACACAAATAAGAGTTATAAATAAGATTGTAGATAAAGATTTATTCAACATTGAAATTAAATTAAAACAATATTTCAAATATATTGATTTTTCAACGATTTATTTTAAATCGATAATCAATAATGAAATTTAAATGAAATTAATAATTGAAATGTACATGATGATATGAATTAATCAATAAATTAATGGTATATATATAACTAATTTGCTCATTTTTACTATAACTCCTTGTTAAAATACAATTAAATGTCTAGCTTCAATTGACTCATGATTTCAACCTGTGAAATTTCTTAAATTCTCCACAAAACTTATTCTAATAATCAACTGCTCACTAGTGACTGACTTCAGGAGAACCTCCTGGAGTTCTAGTGAGAAGCCGTTACCAGTGGAGTCCAACTAGGTCTGTTGTAAGATATCAGCTCACTGAAGACAATGGTGTTCGGTGGTGCAACTTCGTGGATTGGTTGAAGTTAGACATTAACACCGTTGGATGGTTAAGTTCTCGCGCGCGAAGCCAGTAGGTCCTGGGTTCGAGCCCCGCGTGGTGCTGGATCGTGGGTGCGCACTGCTGTGGAGTCGCATATTAGGACGAAACGGCCGTCCAGTGCTTCCAGGTTTTCCATGGTGGTCTAGCTTCAATTGACTCATGATTTCAACCTGTGATATTATAATATAATTTAATGAACTAGTCTACTTCAATTAAATATATAAAATGTTTATCTTCATTTTTGAACAAAACTAATTTTCACTGATTGAAATCATGAGTCAATTGGAGTTAGACCAACATGGAAAACCTGGAAGCACTCCTAGAGTTCTAGTGAAAAGCCGTTACCAGTGGAGTTCAACCAGGTCTGTTGTGAGATATCAACTCACTGATGACAATGGTGTACGGTGGCGCAACTTCGTGGATTGGTTGAAGTTAGACATTAACGGAGTTAGATGCCGGCCGGCCCAGTGGTCTAGTTGGTTAAACACCTGTCGCGAGAGTGATAGGTCCTGAGTTCGAATCTCGAGGGTTGCGGGGTCGTGGATGCGCACTGCTGAGGAGTCCCATACTGGGACGAAACGGCCGTCCAGTGCTTCCAGGTTTTCCATGGTGGTCTCACTTCAACTGACTCATGATTTCAATCAGTGAAAATTTCTGGAATCTCCACAAAACTCGTTCTGATAAAACTAATTGTAATTAAATGTTGATAAAAACTAATTATGGAAAAAAATATGACAAGCACTTTGTCCTACATGGGACTTATCAACTAGATATAAGTACATCCTTGTATTGATGTGTTATTACTAGCTACTATACAAATATATATATTTTTTAATTGCACTAGACAATCCACTTAGAATGAATATATACTAAAACCAACTGATCAGTTTAAGTTTTTAAAGCCAATAACAGGAAAATAAAAACTACTATAAATTGGAACAATTCCCTATTCGAAGCATAATAGTTTAGTATCAACTAAAGAACTAATGAAAACTAGAAAACATCAGACAACTATTTCTTTCATATTTCAGACTCTTTAGCTGTATGGAACTAGAACCACATACAGTATCCAGGATATTTATCTGTTATAGTTTCTTAACAGAACTTTGAAAAAAATTTCTGAAACTAGTGAGTAATGGGTAAATGATTGTTATTAAAGTAGGAGCCTATAAAAGTTGTTCAATTTGAATTTAGCGTTTCACTGTGAATCAAAATTAACTGGATAACTAGTATAGGGGTTGTAAAGATTATTAAAATTTTGATTGAGATCAATCGGTTCATGATCTCAATCAAAAACTTAATAATCTCCAGAACCCCTATACTAGTAATTAACATGTGCTCACTAGTGACTAGCTTCGTGAGAGAATTCTCGGAGTTCTAGTGAGAAGCCGTGACCAGTGGAGCTAATCCATGTCGGGTAGAGACAGGTATCTACCTAAGTACAATGGAAAATGGTCGCGCAATTTCGTGGATTGGTTGATGTTAAACACTAACACCATTGGATGCCGGCTCAGTGGTCCAGTAGGTTAAGCGTTCACGCGCGAGACCGAAGGCCCTGAGTTCGAATCTCGTGGGGTGCGGGATCGTGGATGCGCACTGCCGAGGACTCCCACAATAGGACGAAACGGCAGTTCAGTCGGTTCATAATCTCAATCAACTGGATAAATCCATTTAAAAAAACTTTTGGTTCAATTTATTCGGATTGCTATGTATTATATCATTGTCTGTTTTTGTTTTGCTTATTGATTTTTTTATGTTTGTGCTAAATTATTTAATCATTTTGATAACTGTCAGTATATTACTGTTTCATTTGAAGGATTAGCGTTTTGATATTTTAGCACAAAAATTCTAGTTGTCAACAAGTGATGTGATAAACTGACTTCATAATTGTTTGTCTTCCCAATAATTTTCGAAAATTTTTACAATAAGTTTAGGTACCCTAGTAAATATATAGAATACTAAATGAGTTATAATGTATTTTGTTAAATATACTTAGAATAGATGGATTATAACTAGGGGTAGAATCCCAGAGACGTGTCCTATGCAATTTAGGACTCGTCAGTTGGATACACCAATATTGTAATAATATCGTACCAGTACCTTTCTCTTATAACGCGAACCCACTATCCACTGAGTTATTAAATCCAGTTGGTTATCAACTCGTTTAACAGGTATGATGTTTATATTTATTTGTATGATGTAAATTTCACACCTCCCAAGGAAGCTTTCGTAATATTCTGTTTCAGTAATAGAACGTTAAATAAAAAATTGTGACGAAGTTACGAAATTCATTTATAGAATTTGAAGAGTACTAAGTAATAATTAACCTAACTGGTAAGAAATTTTACATTCTGAAATAACTTAAACACTTACTAATATCGATATTTGATAAGCATACTTTTATTTACCAACACTCTGTGCTATACACTAGGTGTGGAGGTTAATAATATTACCTTGGGAGGTAGAAAGCTATTGAAGTGGACAGAGAGATGTTTAAACCTCAATCAATCATATATAACGTAAGAACCTAGCACCGATATGCATTACCCCAAGTTGCCACACCACATCAGCACAGTGACATGAATTGGTCATGACGAAAATAGTGGTATCAGTATTAGTATTAATATTATTATTAGTAGTAATGATGGTGGTAAATGATTAGCCAATGTAGAGAACATGATCTCATTAAAAGCTAACTACTTTAATCCTTAAGCCATTACAGTATGTTGACTACTGGGAACATGATAACAAACTTTTTCAAGTTAGAGAAAAATAGTTTTTGTAAATAATCAATGATGACAGCTTTTTGACAAATAACTAATCCCATAATTTCCGCAAAACCCTATACTTAGAATAATCATGTACTCACTAGTGACTAACTTCAAGAAACAATTCCTGGAGTTCTAGTAAATAACTGTGACCACTAAAGTTCAATCATATCGAGTGCGAAACAGTTATGCAACATAGGCAATGTTTAATGGTTGCACAATATATCTTGAATTGCTTGAAATTAAACATTAACACGGTTGCGTACCGGATAAATGGTCTAGAGGTTAAAAGTCCATACACGAAATCAGAGGCCTTGGGTCCAATTCCCGGTTGATGAATTCTGAGTGAGCACTGTCGAGGAGTTCTATACGAGGATGAAACATTTGCTCAATGTTTCCTTATTTTCAATGGTTGTCTAACTTAAATTTAAAAACTATAAAAATTCTATAACTTCTATAAAATCCTATACTGAACATAAATAATACTCAAATGAATTGGTTTCTTTCTCTCCATCTTTTTTACTCCTTTTTTGACAATCATATGATGGAAAGAAAAGTCGATTTTTGATTGATTTACTCATTATGAGTTTTGGTTCAAGATTACCTTCCGTTTTGATTCAAAGTATTTTTCATATATATGATCTAATCCTAATTATTAATCAAAATGAGTGTACAATCAATATATGAATGAGTGTATTTTCTACTAAAATCGTTGTCGTCGTGTTTTGGAGTTAACAAATCATCACTTCTACCAGTCTTTGTGTTCTTACTTTCACTTCGTGTGAATTGCAAAGGTCCCTCATTTCGAGTATAATTGATAAGCATTCCCGACATAACAATCAGTGACAATCAAATATAAAAAAAGTAGCATTAAAAGAGCCAAGATAATAAGAATTCAAACGACAAATTATAACAGACATAAATAATGAACAATAAACAAAACAAAAACAAAAAAAAGTAGCGAATTCAATTCAACTTACTATTACAGTTCCTTGAATTTCTTCATATTTTCTTCGTTTTACAGTAGATCTTTTATCATGAATATTTTCTTTATTTTTACCAGTAAACCAATTAGAAATTGTTGAACAACCATATGAATGAGAATTAATAGATGAGATAGTCTCTAATGATTCAGGATTTATTGATAATATTGGTATAGGTGTTACTGTTTTCATTTTTAATTCATGATCATGATGTGATTTATGTTGTTTAAAATGTGATAAAAAACGATTAAATTTTCCATGTTTTTTATGTTTTATTGTTGTTATATCATTATTTATTTGAATCATTTCAGAATTATTCATTTATGTTTATGTTTAAATAAGATTTATAAAGATTATTGTACAGTTAGGTATTAAAACAAAAAAATTGGTTGTGTATACGTTGTACAATTCTCTAATATATATGTGTAAGCACATTCAAATATGTGTTAGTGAGTATAGTGGTGTGTGTATGTGTTTGTGTGTGTGATTGTGTGTGTGTGTACATGTGGGTGTTAAACTATATTCAAATGATCCACATATTTAAAAAAAAATAAAGGTGAATTATACACAGAGACACACGAACAGAAAAGAGAAACTATCTTAAATATTTACTCAATAAATATATGTATATATTAATATTATATAAAAAACTATACTATTCCTTATTTGTTCATTATCCAATTAGAAATAAACACGGAACTCTTTCATGAACAATAAAGATATGCCTTAATATACGCCCTATAAATAATTGATTGAACCAAACAAATATTTTACTGTATTATTCTTTTATTTAATTTCCATGACAATTTCAATAATTATACTAATTAACAATGAATTTTAAATTATTTTTTAAAAAAAAATTGAACTATTATACAATCATCAGAATGGGTTTTGTGGAGATTTTAGAAATTTCACAGATAGAAATCATGAGTCAATTGAAGCTAGACCACCATTGAAAACCTGGAAGCACTGGACGGCCGTTTCGTCCTAGTATGGGACTCCTCAGCAGTGCGCATCCACGACCCCGCACCAGGTTTTCAATGGTGGTCTAGCTTCAACTGACTCATGATTTCTATCTGTGAAATTTCTAAAATCTCCACAAAACCCATTCTGATAATAATAATCACCTGCTCACTAGTGACTGACTTCAGGAGATACTTCTGGAGTTCTAGTGAGAAGTCGTTACCAGTGGAGTTCAACCAGGTCTGTTGTGAGATAGTAACTCACTGAGGACAATGGTGTACGGTAGCGCAACTTCGTGGATTGTTTGAAGTTAGACATTAACACCGTTGGGTGCCTGCTCAGTGGTCTAATGGTTAAGTGCTCGCGCGCGAAGCCAGTAGGTCCTGGGTTCGAGCCCCGGGTGGTGCGGGGTCGTGGATGCGCACTGCTGAGGAGTCCCATATTATACAATCACTAATGAAAACAAAGTGATTGAAGAACTAAATGTTTATTCGTTCATTGAATGAATGTTATGTGTATTACTTTGAATTTAAGTATAAAGTGAGTAGTATTGAAATGGTAAAAAATGGAAGGAATCTATTCAATGAATCTAGTTTTAAGATAAGTATAACTATGAATGTGTATTGTTGAAGAGTTTCAACAAAGGACTAAACAACCATCCACTATTCTTCAGTTATTATAAATGTTTTGTGAATGATATTTATTTCTGATTAAGATTTATCCTCTATTAAGTCAGATAGATAGAAAAATTGGAAAGAATTGACGATCCATGTCTGTATTTTGTTTAGTGTACTGAGTAGAAAAGAGTACGAATATTATTACATACCACTTTACAAGAAATCAATTTGGATACTTGTTATTTTTTACATTATGATTCAATGTACTCTGGTTTGTTTGTAAAAAACTAAGTCTGTTTGAAATATGAGAACGATTTTGAACTGGTGATCATTAGTCTTTTGTTCTTACTCTTCGTTCGGGGACAGACGTTATGTACAGAGTATCGATTTCTCTCGTCCTTGTTGCCTTAGGTTGCGTATTAATCATTGTCCATAATTCAAGATCACACTGATAATGATATAAAAATCATATTCATTGGACAAGATAGTGGCTATCTGGACTTAATAGATCAGTGTGGATTGTGTCAGCGTTTAGAGTAAATGGCATTAGGTTTGAGTCGCAGTGTAAACATCAACAATTGGATATGGTAGATACATCCGACTGATGAATCTCAAACGGTACAAAACCTGTGTCCTAGATTTCAATACTAGCTACATTCTATCTTTCTCAAATAACTTGTGATATTCCAATAATACACAAAAGATGTCACAAAAAAATGATTAAAATTTAATTATGAGTATCAACAATGGAAAGATTTAATTCCATACTAAAGACGATATAAACTAGTTCATAGGTTGTATTCAATTTAATCACTTCAATCTTCTGTATAATGATTGCTGAGTTGATAGAATAAAAATGATTGAAATGAATATGGTGACCAAACTGATAAGTTCACCATTGGGCAAATCATTATCTGAGCTCACAACTTTTAATAAACAAAGCTATCAGCCTATTGGCTTTGTGATATACATGTATATCACGGACTGCTTTCATACAAAATATGTAAAAAAAAATTGTAAGGCAATTCTTCAAGTATTATACTAAAAAGATAATTACTACTGCTGTTTTGATTTAGAATAATAGACTAATCGATATTATTGTACAACACAAATTAACTTAAACTGTAACTCAAACTTTCTTCAGTTTTTAAACATTGAATATCAACTCAGAAATTCTCATTACTGACTAATTTTGAGCAGTAATTCATCGAGTTCTAGTGAGTTACCATGACCTTTTTGGGTTCAACTACGTCAGTTGTGAGACATTCGTCCGTCAATCGCACTGAAGGATGGTTACACGATATTGTCAGTTGGTTGGTGCAAAATATGTAAAATGATCAACGTCGCCCCAGTGGTGAAGTTCAGTTTCAATTATAGTCACAGTTTAAGAAGCCCACTGCTGAAAATTCATATACTAGTCGAAACTGTTGTTTAGTGATTCCCAGTTTTCAATGGTTATTTAGTTATTATCAATTCGCAGTGTAAACGATAAGGGAATTTTTTTGGCATAAGACCTAAAATCTCTGAATTCATGTCTAAATAAGAACCAGTTAGACAGGTTGACTTCTGACAGATTTTAAAGTAGGTTGGTTCCTAACTAGTAAATATACTGAAATCAACATACTGAATTCTAACTTTGATACTTAGGTCATTTGACAATCAATAGATATAATACGGTAAACTTTATCGGTCTATGAGGAAAATGTGTCATCAACTGTTAGTTGAGATATTAAGACAATTAAAATATGTATTTACAGCGATATTCCATGTACTGGAATGGTAAGCTAACATGTTATATTGTCTCAGTTTCTAGTTCTAATTTACGAATTAGTTCAACTTCAATTATATTGCTGATGTATAAACTGACTAAATTTTTTATTGACTAAGTTATAATAATAATTCGTTTTAAGTAAGTCAAATAAGTGAATAGATTGTATCTTGTCCAGAAAATGATTATCCATAATAATTACTTGGTAAATCGGTATTGTTGTTCTGTTTAACTATATGATGACATGAACCAATTACTGAACAATAAATGACCTCATGTTTTATTTATTTCAACACATAGATATTGGTACAAGGAGGCAGCAAATACATATGCACCACACAAATCTCATTCGATATGTGTGAGGGCTGTGATACTGCCCGGGTGCCCAGACCGAAGCAGGTGGTTTTCTTAGGGGGCCACACCCCGAGCCTTCGACCTGAGGGTCAGATCCACAAGGCAGTGGAGCATCGTAAGGAGATGCAGTCCCATGCCCTCATGTTTATCTAGTCCTTAAGGTTGGTTAACTTAAATTGATCTAGTTACAATGTACCAGTCATTAATTTAAATGACTTAATATTTCATAGACTATACTTAGACGTTAATTAGAGAAGATCCACTAAGATTGTTGACACTGATTCAAATCTCACAGAAAGCATCAATCCTCTAAAGGATAATGAGTAATAAATTGAGTAAACAGGAGCTTTTTTGAAAATTGCCTCCAATTGTCTAGGACCAAAAATAGTCTCAAACTTCATTATATTTCATTCATTAAATTTTTACACTGACACTATATAATGAACAATACGAAATACTATACAGAATTGATAATTAACTATTCTAATAACTTATTTCCCTATTGTGATTAACATATAAAACAACAACAAAAAAAGAAAACAAACAACCACATTTAAACAATCGAATTTATTAGGAATAAGTAATTTGAATAATTCGTTATGATCACATTATTTTTTATTCAGCTGATCATTACTACTGATATATTGTTTAAAAAAAAATTCGATTGGATATAATAAATAATCAATATATTATACTACTTTTTTTTCTCTTCAGGATATACTTAAATGTCGATCAGATCAACTATATAGTGATCTACATATATCCATATCATGCTTTACATTGAAATTATTGTGATTATAATACAGAAAAATTAACTATTCACTAAATGTAATAACAGTTGTATTTGAATTAAAATTAAGTTTTAAGGTCATTTTGAATCATTTGAAGTGAAAAAAAGAAAAAGAAATTCATTCTTTTTGGTAACTAAAGTCACTAATCAGATAAATGGTATTTTCTAACTACTTAACAGACAAATTATTGAAGGAATCTTTATTTTAATTATTTTAGATTTTATCTTATTTCGAAGGTAAAAAAAAACAAGATCATATAAATGGTAATTTATTGATTAAATGATTTTTTAACTACCAATGAGTATTAGAATAGAAATGGGTTTATGTGTGACAATAGATCGGCAAGACTATGATTTATGGACGACCTTTTTAGGGACACTCAGAAGTGATCTTGAACAACTCTACGCATTTATTAGATCCAAGATAGGGTTACAAATTAATGTGAGAGATTAGGAACTAGAATTGATATTTTCATCACGAATTGGCATTCAGTATAATGTCAAAATACTGGTTAGCCATATGAATAAACGAACGTCATGTCAAGATTCACCATCTGATTGGTTCATCTATAAGTTATCGTCCCGCCATGATTACGAGTGGTTTGTAGTATAACTGGCTGGAATCAGTCTGTATTAAATTATTAATTGATGACTTTTCAGTTCTTTTACTAAGAACACACTGGACCCTAAATATTGCAAAGCACGGTGTAGCAGTGCTATTTTTCTCAGCACGCTTACGTCTTCCTACCAGAAACATCTTCATGCTTACATGATTGATAACTATTCTTTTGTATATTCAGGTAATAACTTTGTGCTCGAAAATGCTATCACCTCTGATTGTGCTATTTGTTAGGATCAAAAGCGTCACATTATTGTTAACATGTGACATAATTTCAATCAATGCAGTTTATGAACATTCTTCTCAAACGGTGAATTCTCATTTTTAAAATGTTATATTCTCTTCGTATGTGACAAATTTTGAGCATTGTGACCCATCACTACCCATTGGTCACGATAGCCAAATTGATCCCAAACGAGTAGTCTGCACCTGACATGGATCAGTCTGATAGACACTGGAATGTTTGGGTCCGATTTTTCATAGCTTTCTCCTCACTTGCCCCCACCCTATGCCAGGTGGTTTGAGTTAGAAACAACACATGTTCACGAAGGTTCACAGTCACATTAGTCACTTTGCCCTATTTATCTAGTACCCTACGCCGTATTTCTACATTATTTTTGAGAGACACTGGCAACTTGACCAATAGAGTTCGACCAACACTATTAGAACTTGACATAAGTGGCTCTGGCTACGATTGAATAATCAATCAATTGTAGGTACATCTCCGTCATGGTCGGTGTAGCTCAGTGGAAACATCTCTGCTAATCATACACACATGAAGAGTGATGGACATACAGCAACCAATGTAATGATTTAAAATAACCAAAAAATATATTAAATAGTATAAGTATTCAAAAAAGGAAGTCCATAATATACACCAATAATAAAGCGACATATATCAACCTCACATTAAACGCCTTTCACCGCCCCACCCTCATTCTCAAAAAGAAACCAGATAAATAACTAGAACAAAAAACGGATAGGTGCATATATTAAAAGCTGTGACAAATTTTCCCCGTTTAAATCATAATCCAAATATAGAAACTGATAAGAATGTAATAACAATATTATCATGTATATAAACATGTTTCATAAAAAATGCGGGGATAGTTGTAGTCTTAGAGTAGTAGTACATAAGAGGTTATTCACAGCCATATGGTAAATAATGGTTTAACCGATTGAATTTCAAAATAGTAAGATTATTTGTAAAATTATACAAGATGGACAGATGTATCGTTTGTTGTTGTTGTTGTCGTCACCACTCAAGATAAACTTGTTGAAAATGGAACGAATGAAGTAAAAAGTTAAAATGAGATGAAAGTAGATCTCACATATTAAAACAGAAAGAAAAATTGATAAAACGATAATTTTACTACTCAAATAACCAGAAGTAGTTGTGGTTAAAGAGAGAGATTTAAGAGAAACAGAGAAAAAGAATTAGAAATGATACAAAATAATATTGTGTCTTCATGTTGATTGTTGTGTTCATGCTTTATAAAGTACGTAATTGATAATCACCGTTTTGTGTAATATAACGTACCCATGGGAGTGCGTGATAACCAGATTTTTCAATAATTTTTAAGTGATGAACCTAAATAATAATAATAAAAGTAATAATATATCCCGATGACATTTCGTGACTTGATTTAAGTCTCCTCTTTAGAGTCCAGTCCCGTAAAATATAACAATTTTATGTAAAAAATCGAACAATAACCACGTATGACGAAATCCATCATTTTAAATAACTCTAGAATTGATCAAATGTTGATTTCAGATTGGGTACCATTGGAAACTAGAGAGTACTGGATATCTCTTTCCTACTATCATGAAACTGCTCAGAAGTCATCAATGGGCTATATCGCGAATCGATTGAAGTTTGAATTGTGCCACTGGATATCGAACCGATAGTTCTAGTGCTTAATTGTTCACCACGATACATAAAGGTCCTCGGTTCGACGTCTGGATAGATTGAGTGGAAGTATTAGTGATCCCACCCCACACTAAGATGAAATAGCTGCCTGATAGCTCTCTGACTTTCAGTGGTATGCCAAATGAGACCGATATGCAATAAATACAACTTGTAAACTTAAAAATGGTTTAAAACATCAACGGGCTCCACTTAATCAGTCATTAATAGTCAGGAAGAACTGAACAACCGTTTCGTTCCAGTTAAGAACTCCTCAGGACTAGATGCTTACGGCTATGCCAGGGGTCGAACCGAGGAATGTCATGTTTAGAGTGAAGAGTACCACTTTAAGACTATAACTTACTTCGTAGCTAATGGTTCGCATCTCCAAATTCATTTAACTCGCAATATTATTTCAGTAGTTTGTTCATAAGTAATTATTGAGATTTTAAACATCCTATTACTAATGAGTAGTTATTCCACAAAACAGTAAATATGTTAATGGGCCAGTTACCTATCAAGAACTATATACAAGCGCAAAAAACCAACAGAGTTCAAAGAGAGATGATTACAGTGAGTCCATTGAATTAAAAAAATCTAGGTTTCAAATTTGAAAAACAGAATGCTTCTGCGAAACTGTTCACCAGTCTATTTTAAACTCAATAATATCAGTTTTGTTGAAGGAACTGACATCAATTACGTATCATTAAAAGCCAAAAAGTACTGAAAAGGTGTTTCGCCCTAATGTGAAACTCATCGAGAGTGGACCCATATGATATCACCATGTTTTAACCAAGCAAAGGATACATCTGACAGCCTTTACATAACAATTATTTATAGATAGTTTCACAGTCTAATACGTAACAAGCACCGTAGTGGTCAGTGACCTAAGAGTTGTGGTTTAGTGATTATTTGAATGGTTGGATTTGAAACACAAGATATAAACTTATCCTGCTCACTTTGCACCGAGTATACAGATAAATATTTTTAGTCTAGGGAGGGATAAAAATAATTATTTATAATGTCATGAGAGTACTTCTATGTAAGAAAGATCCCATCACAAACCTGTAAACCAGATACAGTGAAATATGGTATTTCGAATTTCACAGTTATTGGCGGTCTAGACTCCACATCTTGACCCCCTTCCACAGAAGGCAAACCAAAACTGGCTCTTAATATGTATTCTTTGCCACCTGGAAAGCTGCGTATTGTCCAAACAACAACATTTGTCTCTGGAACATACTTCGCATTACCCATTGTTGTTTTAAATCTTGGTGAGTCAACATCCGATGGAACTGGAACATGAATTTCAACTTGATTCGCTGTACTTCGACGTTTGAATTGTGCTTTAGCCTTTTAAGTTATAAAAAATAGCAGAAAAATAAAACAACAGAAGAATTAACCATTGTTCGGACGAATTAGTACTGGTGATTCAGTGTATTGGTTAGAGCACTTGGTTGTTAACCACAATACAATAGGTCACAGGTTTCAACTCAGGTTTTGGAACCCTGGTAGTAGTAACATCTTATCAAAACAGCATGAATTAAAGCTGAGTACTCTGTAGGTAAAGCAGTAGTGATTAAACGATTGAAAGTTTAATTTTAACTACTAATCTCAATTCACTTATTCTGGGGTTTTGGGCAACCGAAAAATTGTAACTCCAAGTCTAGAAAACGAAGTTGTACATGGTTACAAAGTTACATTATAAACAGTGTAAGATTACTTTTGGTCATATATACTGCTAGTGGAGCATTTCATAGCAAAATCTCACGCAATTTAATCTTCTGTATATAATAAATTGATGACAAAAAGTGAAATATTTTTAAAATAATATTTAAGAAGACACCTTTGTTGTATATTCTTAAACACAGAAATGTAAAAAGCAGTAAGTTCCCAAAAGGAATTAAAATCACTGAGAATAAACATCAAAGCGGATATCGAAAGCCAGGTGTTTAGATAATTGGATTCATCATTTGAGAGAATTTACTTTTAATAACACTAAACTATGATGCATTGAGGTACATTTCATGTTTGAAGGCTAATGGCACTCTACAGTTGCATAAACCGAAGTGGCGTGGAACTCAAATCTGAGAACTAGCGACTAAAAATCCAATACTTTAACCAATAAGCCACTACTCCAAAAAACAAAACTTGAGCTTTCTAAAAGCATTCTGACTATTCAGACTATGTAAACAATTCTTAAGATGAAATTATATATATATATATATATTCACTTTATCGATAACGGTTTATTGTATTATTAATGAAGTCGAAGTCCTGTCCATTGTGCTGAGAAAAATCAGCTGAAAGAGTTAGAAACATAGAAAACTATTACTAGGCAAAATCAACTATGAATCTAGACACTATGGATATATATATATATATATTAATCGATAGGGCGAGCAATGACTTAATCGATTGAAGTGCAAATGACATATGAAGTGATTTTCTCCAAAGATATGTGACAAGTAAACATGCCTTGAGAAGAAATGACTAGATGCATGATATTGTAAATATGTTTACAAAATTAAATTATACAAATCTGGTTGTAAAGAAATCATATGGAAAATGGTGTATTCATAAATTATTTTTATGATCAAATAAATCTATATCAGTGGTTTTTGTATGTTCACTATACGTTGTTGGATTCAGAATTTTCAGTACCAACAAGTCAGATAAGTATATCCACTGAAATATAATAGTTATCAATAAATGGGAGGCTTCATTTAGAGTGGTCAATAATTCTTCTATAAATAGTCAACAAGCTGGGTTGATATTTACTCTAAACATATGAAAACATTTACCCAATATTTTGTGAGGATGAGAATTCGAATTTGCAAAAACATTTTTCGAGCAGACAGTTAAGGTAAGCTCATGCAACACAGATAAGTATCGCAGACAATCAGTTAGCTACTTCATTGGACGAAAGCCTTCTTTACAACGACGACTAATATAGAAATGTTGGTCGACTTATTTGACTTCAAAAAGATTATTTTATTCGGATAGCGTGTCGTTGTGTTACCATCGCAAAGCATTTTTTACGTACAATACTTTACTCAACTGATCCCGAACCAGAACATAAATTGGAAAAGAACGGGAATAGCTAGTCCGAAAAGTAAACGTTAGCGTTTATACAAGATGTACACAGGGGTTTAGCGTCTTTTAAAGCCATCCATTGGTGATGATTGATCCATTTTCAACTAATCAATGTGCTTTCGCATGATCATGGTTTAAGTGTGTATTAATCAAGAATCTATTCCGCTAACACATTGACCCAATGCCTGAAAATCGACCTGACAGCCAGGCCTCAATCAAGTTGAGAATGAGTGACCTACAGATCGAATTTCTCCAATCGCCTATGGGATTTTATTACTTATTTTTGTTCATATAAGAATCAGCTGATTAATAATCTTTTTTTTATTTCAAGTCATTTGAGGGCTTAAGTCAATAATACAATCTCGTAAGGAAGCTAAAATTTGGCCACATTATATCATTGCTTTCATCTTCCAATTAATATTCTATACGCTAAATTGATTGATCGCTGGGTGAGTGAAACAATCTGTGATGATGGGATGCTGATCAATAACATCTACCGGCGTCTTGAACAGTGTGAAGTTTTTTTAGTAGTTCTACTGGTCTGTTGGCCCAGCAACATTGATCAGACTGTTCTGCCATCCATCGTCAGTGAAGATTGGTCCCTTTAACGAGGTGGAAGTCCGCAGGGAACTTCAACTTCTGAAGCGCCACAAATTATCAGGCCCAGATGACTTACCTCCTAACATTTTTAAAGATGGTGGCGACTTTCTGGTTATGGAACTGACTGAGTTATTTACAAAGATATGGTAATTAGAGTGTTCCAACATCATGGAATGAGTAGATAGTTGTTCCTATCTTCAAAAAGGATTCACGTCGTTTTCGCAACAACTATCGGGGAATAAGTCTACTTCTGATAGTGTTTAAACTAATGGCTCCCATCATACTTTGTAGATTGTCCAAAACCCGAGAAAGATTGACTCGCGAAGAGCAAACTGGCTTCGGTTCTGATCAAGGATGTGTTGATCATATTTTCACCCTTCATCAAATGTTAGAACACTATCATACTTATTACAGGCCAACAGTCATGTTTCTTAACATTAGGGACGCCTTCGATTCGTTAGACAGGACTGTTCTCTGGGATCGTCTATCGTGAAAGGGTGTGCCTGAGAAGCTTATTAACATCTTAAAAACCCTATATACTAACACCTCAAGCAGAGTGATGGCATATAACCACCTCTCTCCACTGTTCTATTCAAGCGATGGGGTTAAGCAGAGTTGCCTAATCTCACCATTCCTCTTTAACTTTGTCATCGACGACGTTCTGGAAACAGCTCTGATGGATGTGGGTAATAGTGGTGTGCACCTGATGCCTGGAGAAAGACTTTTAGACCTTGAGTATGTGGATGGCATTGTCTTACTGTGTGATAATACCCAAGCCATCCAATCCGAACTTAATCAGTTGGCAGTCAGTGTCTTTAGGTATGGCATATACCCTGCACCTTCCAAGTGCAAAATACTTTAACAAAACTGGCAGGACCCAGAATCTGCACCTACCCTGAGTATTTAGCAGATAAAAGTCGAGAAGTTCGTGTGTCTGAGTAAGCGCTGGTGGTGGCATGAGTGATGAAATCAATCCACGTATAGTGAAAACCAGAACGGCTTATACCGATCTGGGCCATCTAAGGCGCCTTCGTGATGTTAATCTGGTTATAAAAGGTTGGACCTACAACGCGTCGGTGAGGGCAGTTTCGCTCTATGCTTGTAAAACCGAGCCTCTCTGAGTTGAAGATGTTAGACGGCTGTGTTTGAGCATCGTTGTCTCCGAAGGATTGCTGACATCCAGTAGCAACACCATGTTAATAATGCAGAGGTTCAGCGTCATATGTCTGGACACAGAGATGATAATTCGATTGGTGTCGCTATCTTGAAACATCGACTTCGGTGGTTTGGATATGTTTTACGAATGTCGTCTCAGAGAATTCCACGTCGTGCGTTATTATCCGACGCTGGGACCGGTTGGAGAAAGCGGAGAAGTGGTCAGTGTGTGGTGTAGAAGAAAGCTGTACAAGATTGGTTTCTTTTGGTCCTTCACGACTTCCTGGTTGGGATCCTAGATATGGTGTAACACAGTGTTTAGAGACGTTATCCGAATAGAAACCAGTGACGATCCTGCTGTAACTTTCTTTTACTTTCTTCACAAAAGTGGATGAAAGGATTCTTTCTGTTTGTATTTTTCCTAACCGAATTGTTTCTCCCATTATCATTATTATTATTTCATTCTAATACACTAATTTCTGTCCGTTGTTCTTTTTTTTACTATACGCACTTTACATTATCTCTTGACAACCCCACTGTTATTGTGTGGAGTATATGTATTTGGTGCCTCTTTGTACCAATGGTTGTTTTCAAATAAATAAATAAAAATGAACAGTGCCATACCTGTCAGGTCCTTTTCAATGTAGATCGAATTCTATCGACCAAGTTAAAATGTGACTACTAGTATACGTTACACGAAATTGCATGCACTATGTTCAGATGCAAGGTGGTGATTGGATGTAGTCGACAGGAAACCCTAGACCCAAGTTTCGTGTTATTTGGCACTCGTCAGCAAAATGTACCTGTAATCTTGAGGGAACTGATGCTTACTGGTGGATGCGACCCCCTTGGACTCAGCTTCAGTCAGAGACGTTACAACTGGTCTATCTGGGCCGCGACTGACCTGTTGTATGACTGAGATCTGCACTAAGAAGGACATGACACACATGACATTGGTCACCACCCAGTGATCAATCAATTGTAAATACAATTGCCCTACAGGTCAGTCGCGACCCGGATAAATCAGTGGTAACTAATATGGTAAGCAAATTAGAAGTAGGCTAATAAGGTCAATCCTTGGTAAACAAAAGCGACCTGAAGGATAAGTATCTAGAAATGGATTGATTACTTAAGGGGTAGAGTTGCATGTAAATAAATGAGTACTTGTGCATTTTATTCGGTAGCTCAATAGACTTTCTCATCTACTCTCGTCTTCTCGCTCAAGTAGTTAGGTATGGGGTTAGCACGTAGCACATCGTGTATCAGTATCAGATTTAGGACACCGCCCATCATAACAGTAACGTCTCTGACCGTGAAGCTGAGTTAGACGGGATCAAATCCACTAAGGAGCATCAGTTCCCTCAAGGTTACATGTACACCTTACTGACGAGTGTCTAATAACACAAAACCCGGGTTCAGAGTTTTCTGTCGACTGCTTCCAAACACTAGTTCACATTGTATTTATTTATTTCAACAATCAAAAACTTCATCTCATATAAAGAACAGTCTGTTACTTAAAAAATAAGGTGCTAATTGAGAATCTGCTGTTATGAACAACTTAACTAGAATTAGTCGAAAGTAAAAGTTTAACACTGTACTGACCATGTATACCTTACCACTTTCATGAACTTATAATACAATCTAACGATTTCTTAGCATTGTGAATATTATACTCCCTACTGAGTCTTGATAGTTCGTAAATGTCAACTGGGACTTCAAACAACTATCTTGTAAACTAATCACTGTCAATATTAAACATAAAATTTAAAGTATTTTAAGAAGAGCTGGATGGTGACTAGCCATGTAATCTAGGACGAGCGTCTCGCCCTGTTTGAGGACTCATCGACTGGATGTATCTGGACCCCAACATTTGAAGAAACAAATATAGAATATATATCAAAATAGTAAAGTATGCATGAATTTACCTTCACCATATACTCCATACGACTATGTGCATGTTTCTCAATTATTGCTTCTACCCAGATCAGAGGTTTAACCTAGATTTAAAAAGAAATTAAGATAAAATATCTAGCTCATAGAGATACACAGTTTTTATGACTGTCTATTACATAAACGAACCCAGTGAAGGCTACTGATAATAAGGTTATGATAAACGATGTACGATACAGTGTAGGGAACCTGAAGAATGATAATTACTTCATTTAAATAGTGAAGCTGATGAAAACATTTTATAATTTCGTTCTATTTAAAATCGTGATTCAGTGGTTTAATCACATACCATGCATTTAGGTCACTAAATTATCCTGATTTAAAAGATTAATTAACTCCGGCTGGAGTCCCTCGGGGGCTGCTGCCCGTCCCAAACCCGGATAAAGGAGGAGGGTTGGACATGGGGTTAGCGTCCCCATCCCATAGAAAACTAACTCGCTAAAAAAACGCTAACCAGAAAAAATTCTTCAAACCTTTTCAACTCTGCCCCGGGAGTCAGAAGGTCTTCATTTAGAAGGACTATGACGACTCATGATGAAAGCCGAATTCCTTCGGAAGTTACGAAGCCGATGCCATTTGTGACAACCAGAGCGACCATTTATTTAGGTATATGGAATGTTCGTACAATGTGGGACACCGGGAGAGCCCTCCAAATTGCTGCAGAAATGAGGAGATACAACCTAGAGGTTCTTGGGATCAGTGAAACACATTGGACACAAGTTGGACAGCAACGACTAACTTCAGGAGAGCTTCTGTTATGCTCCGGCCATGAAAAAGAAAATGCCCCACATACACAAGGAGTTGCATTGATGCAGTCCAAATAAGCACAAAATGCACTTTTAGGATGGGAATCTCATGGACCAAGGATCATCAAAGCCTCCTTCAAAACAAAGAAAGAGGGCATTTCAATGAACATCATCTAATGCTATGCGCCTACCAATGGCTACAATGAAAACGCTAAATACCGATCCCACGATAGGCTGCAGTCAATCGTTGAGAAACGCTCAACAAAGGACTTGACCATTCTGATGGGAGACCTAAATGCCAAGGTTGGGATAGACAACACCGGATATGAAGATATCATGGAAAGACATGGATTGGAAGAAATGAACGTAAATGGTGAGAGATTTGCAAACCTATGTATCTTCAATAAACTGGTCACAGGCGGCACCATATTCCCACACAAATGCATTCACAAAACCACATGGATTTCACCGGATCACACCACGCAAAACCAAATCGACCATATTTGCATCAACAAAACGTTCAGGAGGACTATAGAGGACGTGAGAACCAAAAGAGGAGCTGATATAGCCTCAGATCATCACTTGCTGGTCGCCAAGATGAAATTGAAACTCAAGAAGCACTGGACAACGGGGCGGACAATATCACAAAAGTTCAATGCGGCCTTTCTTCAGGAAACTAACTGTTGTGAATTTAAATTGTGGTTGAGGTCGATTTTTACCCTGTGCTACTTGTTATGACTTCACCTTGATCTGTCTAGACTAAACTATGACCTTGACGCGATAGGGTGAGCGGCTTAACCTTGAGTCTGTCACGCGTGAGTTCGAGATGGGGTAGAGAGACAACTATTCTAGAACCTGATTGGTTGGCAAGCACGCAAATGAGAGAAGACAAGACAGTTGGAACACTGAACTCTGGATTCTCTGAATTCGGATTAGTACAAAAATGTACATGAATAAATAAGTCAATATCTTGACTACGACGTACAATAATTTGGAAAAATACAGTTATGTCGGAAACTGGGAATTAGGGTAGAAAATACAGTGCAAAATATTATGTTTAAATTACAATATTTTCGGAACAAAAAAGTGTGTGGTAGTGAATGATACATAGAACGAAAGCTCATGCCATGTAGAATAAGATAGGGACAAAAATAAATATAAGTGTTTTACAGGGTTTGAATGAAATGAATTAACGTCCCAAGAAAATGACTTTCGTAGTTGTCTGGGCTTCTTAATTCCCCGTTCATAACACTAACAAACTCAACAAATTCAAGATAGTCCTCAGCAATAAGTTCCAGGCCTTTCATGATCTACTCAATGGCGAAGGAACTACTGTGGAGAGCAACTGGAAGGGGATCAAAGAGGTAATCACTTCAACATGTTATGAGGTTCTGGGTCACAAGAGGCACCATCACAAGGAATGGATCACTGTTGATACACTGGATAAGATTCAAGAAAGGAGGAACAAGAAAGCAGCAATCAATACTAGTCGAACAAGAGCAGAAAAAGCCAAGGCACAAGCTGAATACACAGAATTAAAAAAACAAGTAAAGAGGAGTATCAGAACCGACAAACGTACATATGTGGAATATCTAGCAAAGACGGTGGAAAAGGCTGCAAGCGAAGGAAACATGAAGAAACTGTGTAACACGACAAAGAAACTCTCTGGAAATCGCCGCAAACCTGAACGACCAGTGAAAAGCAAGGAAGGCGAGGTATTCACCAACATTGAAGAGCAATCAAACAGGTGGGTAGAACACTTCAAAGAACTCTTGAATCGACCAGCTCCACTGAACCCACCCAACATCGAAGCAGCACCCACGGACCTCTCAATCAATGTTGGCCCACCAACAATTGAAGAAATCAGCATGACCATCAGACAAATCAAGAGCGGCAAAGCAGCAGGACCAGACAACATTCCAGCAGAGGCACTAAAAGCACACGTAGCGGCAACTGCAAGGATACTCCACATTCTCTTCAATAAGATTTGGGATCAGGAACAAGTACCAACAGACTGGAAAGAAGGACTTTTGATCAAAATACCGAAGAAAGGCGATCTCAGCAGCTGTGATAACTACAGGGGCATCACTCTTCTCTCAATGCCAGGGAAAATCCTCAACAGAGTATTGTTAAACAGGGTGAAGGACTGCGTAGACGCCCAACTTCGTGACCAATAGGCAGGATTCCGTAAGGATAGATCGTGTACAGACCAAATCGCAACTCTACGGATCCTTGTGGAACAATCAATTGAATGGAATTCATCACTCTACATCGACTTCATTGACTACAAAAAAGCATTTGACAGCGTGGACAGAACAACACCATGGAAGCTTCTTCGACACTATGGCGTGCCTTAGAAGATAGTCAATATCATACAGAGTTTATATGATGGATTACACTGCAAAATCTTGCATGGAGGACAGTTGACAAAGTCGTTCGAAGTGAAGACCGGTGTCAGGCAAGGTTGCTTACTCTCACCTTTTCTCTTTCTCCTGGTGATCGACTGGATCATGAAGACGTCGACATCTGAAGGGAAACACGGGATACAATGAACATCTAGGATGCAGTTGGACGATCTAGGCTTCGCAGATGATCTGGCCCTTCTATCCCAAACGCAACAACAAATGCAGGAGAAGACGACCAGTGTAGTAGCGACCTCAGCAGCAATAGGTCTCCAAGGGAAAAGAAAGGTTTTCCGATACAACACAGCATGCACCAATCCAATCACAATTGACGGAGATTTGGAAGATGTAAAAACCTTTACATATCTGGGCAGTATCATTGATGAACACGGTGGATCTTATGCAAATGTGAAGGCGCGTATCGGTAAAGCAAGAGCAGCACATTTACAACTAAGGAACGTCTGGAACTCAAAGCAACTGTCAACCAACAACAGGGTCAGGATTTTTAATACAAATGTCAAGACAGTTCTACTGTATGGGGCGGAAACCTGGAGAACTACGAAAGCCATCATCCAGAAAATACAGGTGTTCATTAACAGTTTTCTACGCAAAATACTTCAGATCCGTTGGCCGGACACTATTAGCAACAACGTACTATGGGAGAGAACAAACCAGATCCCAGCAGAGGAAGAAATCAGGAAGCGCTGGAAGTGGATAGGACACACATTGAGGAAAGCACACAACTGCGTCACAGGAAAAGCCCTCACATGGAATTCTCAAGGTCAAAGGAGGAGAGGAAGATCAAAGAACACAACACACCGGGAAATGGAAATAGACATGAGAAAAATGAACAAGAATTGGATGGAACTAGAAAAAAAGGCGGAGGACAGAGTGAGTTGGAGAATGCTGGTCGGCAGCCTATGCTCCATTAGGAGTAACAGGCGTAAGTAAGTAAAAGACTTAGTATAATTATCATCCCTTGCACAACAAAAGGATGTCGACCAGTATATCAACGTATATAAGGTTTTTAAGCTACATATAGGTTTAGATAGGGGGTAAGAATAATATAAGACTTGACACAGTAGAATGTAAGTTCATGTTGACATATTTTTCGTCAGTAAACCTAGAAAAATTATTCGTCAAATTTATTTATTTAAAATACAGATTTTGGTACAAGAAACGTAAAATAAATTGTCTCATGAATTGATGCTATGGTGGGGATACGTTAGGTCAAATAATGGTAGTGACATTAATCCAGTTCCTTTAACAAATGTTTGCCTTTCCTCACACATTTCCATCATAATTAAATCCTAGCCTGAATAAGCAACTCGAAATGCACATCATTTCCAAATGAACATATGAAGTTTATTTCCATTAAACTGTTTATAATGAAACTGCACGATGATTGACAATAATATCTGTTTTGGAGTGTATATGACATATTTTGTCTGCTATAGATTTGTACTCCTGATCTGTGTAATACAGTAATTTTTAAACATAACAACTAGATGGTATTTGTGCTGACCGGTGACCAGGAATAACATTTACACCTGTCAGGAATGTTGAATTTTTTCGCAGAGCCGATGCTGAGATAATCTGCATTGGTTTTTCACCTTTAAACTACCAATATGGTTAAAACAGTAATTGTTGTTCAAGTAGGTTACCACATCTGTTAGCTAACATGAATAGAATACATGTATCGAAACGCTTTAAAACATAGTTATCTCCATAGATATCAATTTAATGATAATCTATCAAGTGAATATTTAAGTCCCATGGTGGACAGACAAAATTTCTAATGATGACAAATAAAACACTTACATGGGTGTTGAGCCTGTAAGACATAAGTTCAAATTCACCATCTGGAGGGATAAAAGAGATTGTTCGATCATTTTCAAATCTTGACAGCCTAACACATTGATGGAATTTCACATCTTCCAGTTCTACAGCTTTGCCTTTATCGCCTATGTAAAAAAATATTGGAGGGTAAAGGTCGAGCAAACTACTTACGTCCGATGTTTTCAAATCTGACTTTATCATTCACTCCCAAGCGGAGCTCAGGCATTCCAGAGAGATAAACACGAAGTTTTATGCTCCCTACAATCTCGCTGCGCAAAACGTTGCCGGTGGAGCTCACCTAGCATTTTAAATATCAAGCAATTTGGGCATACTAATAGATTCACAGACTCAACAACATCCAAGAAAACTTCGTTTTTCCGATACTTTACATTTTCTGAGCGCCAGGATACAGCATTTGTAACAGCAACTGGAGGACGTGGAGCCACCTCTAGTTTGTGGCTCTCTTGTGTAATATATTCCTGAAGGATTTTTGTGTCAGTTGTTTGTGGATAACCAAAGTCCATAATTTCATCTAACAGTTCGTATGTGATAACAAAGTTATCACGAATACTCTCTTCTTCGAATTCCCCAAAATACTCAAGAAATATCTGCGTTGATGAGAAAACCAAGAAACTTACACTGACGAGTTTATACAGAAAAGCAAGAACCATTGCTACATTGGCGTTTTTGCGAGTTAAGCATACCAAATACAAGTAGTTATATTTAACATAAGTGAATGTTATTTCCCCTAATTGTAAAACTGGAATAAGACTGCCTTCCTCTTCACGCTCCATTGCAACAGGCATAAACTTTTCAATGGCACTAGTTTCGACATCACCACGATAATTCCTATGAATGAGCACTTTCCCTTTGTTGTCTAAAATATATAATGCTGACACAACCATATCGTAGCGCTACAGACAAGTTAGGCGCTAGTCGTCAGTAGGATAGGAAGTCACCCAACCTACATTAATCCCTATAATTTGTATTACTGTGTAGAACCACTGTCGCTTTAAATCAGTAGTGTTTATTACTATTAAAAACGTACGTAATTCATCTTGGCTTTTGAACGGACCTTAATAACTTACACAGGATGTGACCGTTGAGTCATTTTTACTTTCATAATTACTCTCTTGTTCTCATAGAAAATCGCGACATTCAGCACACGTACATGTCTTATTTTTGTTTCCCTGTTTTTTACACTGATATTCCTCCTGAATATATGCCCGTCACTTATTATTATACATAGTTCCTGTCTCTTTGACAACATATGCACTATCGATTTTGAGCTACAATAACATTCGTAATGAATATTACAGCAACTTAACACAGTTTCGTCTTCTCGCTTTTCTTCTCCTTTCGTTTCCCTTATCGTTTGTCAACAGTAAAAATCGTATGAAGTATACGTATCTTATATTCATTCTCATTTTTGACCTATACTGTTGGTCTCTAACACGAACTAGGTCAATAATTATATACGGTGGTAGTTGGTATGTGTATTTCCTCAACATCCTTACTCGATCAACGGTCTCCAGAAACGTATCAACAGGAATTTCTGGTATCACCTGTTCCGGTAGATAATTCTAGTAATTCAATACTTTACGCTATAAACGAAACTCCAGATATGAACGCATTTCTTTAGAATGTTCTGTCAAATGATAATTTCAAGAAGGGAGAAATAAGCAAGACATATGAGCATCAGGAAAATTATTCCGTATACTATAGGTGAGCATTAGATCACACCGTAATCTCTGTTACGATAGTGGAAATCGGTTGAGGCATCTCACTCTGTCCTCATAAGATAGTCCAGAGAGACCTTTTAACATTTCGGTCCCTCTCCATTGAGCTTGTCCTAGCATATTTGCTTCATGCTTGAAACAATGATTCGCTGCTTGGACTCCAGATTCTAAATGCGGTCTCACAAAAATCGAGTAGATCACCTGCTCGACTTAGACCAACCAGCTAACGTCGAAGTCACACCTCAACGTTAGCACCTAACGCGGATTGCGCTTTCATCGTACCCAGATACAGTTGCTGCTTCAATGATCATACAACACAAACGACGTTATTACAGAAATATATTAGTGAGACTAGGTACATGAAACAGTGTGTAACCACTGCATCATGAGCCAATCCATGGTGCCCAACTAATTGATGCGTGTTGGTTGCCTTTGGAATTGGAGAGGATCGATGAACTATTTGATATTCAGTGACTCGACCGACCGATAATTTGGCTAGGGCGCGATGGCATTTCACTGGCTCTATACTCTGCTTTAATACCTAGACATTTGCTTGTCTAAGTAATCAACTGAATTATGAATGCCCATAAGACTGAGTTGTTTGACTGTGGTAGCCTTAAACTTACTCGTGTTACTACGGTTGTTGCTTGCTATGACTCCTAGATTTTTGCAGTCCATTGGTTTCGGTGACACAATTTCACTTGTGCAGTGAAATGGATCTCTGTAGCTATTTGGTTGCATCACCACGCTCATGTTCGTATTAACTTCTAATTACGTCCACACATTCTATGAACTAGTGAATTTAAGATCTCCTGTAGTTTAGTCTGACTGACATACTGTATATAACCCTCCAAACCTTCATACCATCTGCAAACAATGGTAAATATGAGTTCGATGCACTTGGTAGTTCATATTCATAAAGTAAAAAGAGAAGAGTGCAGAGGATTATACACATGGTCACCTCACTTTCTAAATTTTTTCACGTTGTTAGGGATCGATTTACATGTACCTGTTATTTACTATCACTGAGAAAGACGCATATCCAGTTTATGACTTCATCATGAATTCCGAAACCTTCCAGGTTTAGCTTAAGTTCCACGCGACACTGTCAATTGCTTTACTTGGGTCTGCAAAAATTACACCCACCGGAATATTTCTATCTTGCTCTGCAGCCCAATCTTCCCTTGAATTGAACAGGATTGTCAAGCATAATAAGACTTTCCTAAACACATGTTCTTTCCTGGATAAAAGATTATTCTCTTCCATATAGTTTAGAATAGCCACCTGAATAACTTCATTCATTAGTATGATGACTGCACCGATTAGAATAACGGGACGATAGGTACTAACAAAGTCCCTACCTTCCACTTAAGAGACTGTACTGACAATAGAGTCTTTTCAGTGTTTTCGCAGGTCTGACTGCAGCAAATATATCGAACAGCATTGGGGGAGGTTCAGCTGTTACGTACGCCAGAGCTTTCATAATCCTAAGATGAGTGCCCTCAGGATCATCAGGCTCATCTGGCTAGGGATATTGAAATAATCGTAATATGGTTCTTTTCTTCATAACCACTGAATCAGTCTGTAAGGCTCCATCACAAATAATTGTTGGTTTTTCATAACTGTCGGTTGGAACATCACTAAAATATTTGGATAAAGTGGCGAGACTATAAGTCATGGACAAACCAATCAGGCATAAAATAATAGGTCTTATATTTTAGCACGAAATCCACCCAATGCATTTGGCTAAATAGTTTTGGCGTCATAGCTGATGTCAGTTCGTGAAGAAAACCCTAAATCCAATTCCTAACCCTAACCATCAAATGTAAATCCTAATTCTAATTCCTCACACTGGTTTATGACCCTCATTTTTCCATAGTTATTAGGTGGACACTCTCACTTTAGCGTCGCTCAAAGGTCGTCCATAAATTAGTCTCACCACTACTATTTATCTACATTCAAGTAGTGCTAAACCTTGTAATTTAGGTCCCATTAATTCGAGTGTTCCTAATGATCACTTATGTTTGCCCACCACTTCGAAAGGTAATGTTCATCTTCAAAAGCGACCATAAAAACCCCTCCGTTCATCCCATAACTTTATCGTGAACGCAGGCAGTATAGGGTGTATCACTTCATTCAAAAACTTGAATACTTTAGATACTAATGGTGTAGTGCGACCCAATGAGATAACAATATTGAGGATTATTAGACGCAAACTGCCCATACGAGGATGCTGTGAATTTCTAATACGATATAATATTTCTTCATATATCTCTTGTGAGGTTTCAGTTAGTGAACAATGACGGTCAGTACTGAGTTTGAAAAAATTTGGATAGGATTATCAATGAGTCGTCTTTATTATTTTTTAACGAGGATTCTAGTGCTCTACTTAAAGATTTGATATATGCGTGTGCTAAGTGCAGAGATAGGATGAGGATTTGTTGAATTATGGTCGTCTATGATATTAGTACTGCTCTAATAATAGACCAAATCATAAAATTGTAGATTTATGATGATATAACTGCCTAATCTATAAGATCTTACGTGGAAGTCACATCATCGTCTACACCAGCTTACTGTATCATAACAATTACCAATACATGATGGAGAACAAGCATAGGCTAGAGAACGAACAGTATATTTAATATGAATAAAAGGTATAAGGTAACTTTCAGCAGGGACCACTCCTGCATGGCCAAGCCATGCCATTCGATCCTCTCCAATCAATTAAATTCCATGTTCTCGTCTTCTCCATCGTTAGGCATTTCCCCACGTTAAATGTTGAATATCTATTTTCCGATTAGTCTCATGTTCAGCTTTGGGTATTGTGTGGTTATGGTCTAATGCCACTACAGATTCAGCCTATAAAGTTTCATGTATAAGGCGATCTAGTCTGTCTTAAAAGACGAATAATTCCTTATGATCTTCCAGATGCGGTGCATAAGATTTTGAATGATTCGTGTACAAAACGTATAATTAAACCGATTCAGTTTTCATCATGAGAAAATCTAAATGTCACTCTCTTGAGGTCTGATGGCAAGACCCCTGGAATATGTGCTGACTATAGAATAATATTGAACTCCTGTCACTTGACGCAAATGCGCACAGCGATAGAGGCTGAAGATATTAATAATAATAATAATAATAATAATAATAATAATAATAATAATAATATTCTTAATCCACTTCATGGCTCTAAAGTGATCTCGAGAGTTGACTTGAAAGATGCTTATTTTCAAGTTCCCTCAGATAAACCTTCACTTATTTTGACAAAAATTAACACTCATTTCAGTCTGTTTAAGTATAACTTCCCTCAATTTTGTTTAGGTGGTTCGTCAGCCATATTTCAGGAAGTGAGGAATAATGTAGCTAATGATCTTGAAGGTGTTAAAGCTTATCAAGATTATCTCGTTGTTCATGGTTCTGATAAACTAGTTCATGATCCTGGAACTATTGCTTTATTGCGTCGTTTAATTGGGAAGAATATCATAAAGGATCCTAGGAAGTGTTCATTTTGTGTATCATGCCTTGAATGTCTTCGATACCTAGTTCATTGTGATGGCTTTAGATCAGATTTGAAGCGATGATCTCCACTGACAAATGCATCGTCTCTGAAAAACCTTACAGAAATATGTTCACTAGTTGGTGCTATTCAATACTATTCCTGGTTTATTCTTAATTTTTCTTGTAGTGACAATTGTTTATTTAATATTTTGACATCTAGACCGTTCAGATTTGGTGAGGAACATGAGTCATGCTTACGAGGTTTACCAAAGTTTCTTCAAAGTGATGCCATTCTTCCATCTTGCTCTCCCTCTGTACATCCTATAATTATTACTGATGTATCATCTGTAAGTATTGGTTCACTTTTGGAGCAGGAAGATAGACCAGTAATCTGTGTTTCACACAAACTTACTCTTGCTGAACAAGATTATTCACAAACTGAGCGGGAAGCACTAGCTGTTTGGGGCAGTTAAAATAACACAAAAATATTCATTAGGAAGGAAATTCTTTATTGCTACAGATCATGAAGCCTTAAAGTTTTGCACATTCCTAAGCTGCTGTGGTTGGACGATAGAGTATTGCTTTGTGTGCCTATGACCATACCATTTAGCACAGAAGTGTCAAAGAGATTGTGGTGTTTGTATAAAAAAAGGATTCCTTTGTACATGTTGAACGTTTGGTTTCGAATTCCAAAAACAGTTCATTCGTTAGTGCTTATCCAG